CAAATGCGACTGTAGCTTTTTTCCCCCAAAACTTTGTTTTCAAAATAAGGGTGCGTCTTATACATCGGTGCGTATTATATTCCAAAAAAATACGGTAAGTCACACGTACCTGACACCACTGTCCAATATAACATTAAAGAATACGCAACTACAGCAAAGAAAATAAAGTTCTCTGTTTAATCACATGGTCGAACAGGTGAAATGTTAGTAAACAACCACATTAAGTTAATAGCATGTAGTTCCAATGAGGAAACACTAGCGATCCAGAAGTTTTATATATTAAAATACTTCAACCAAGCTAAACCAAAAATCACCATGTTTCGCCTTTAAGTCTCTAAAAGTGAGTTGTTATCATCAAGTTATGGATGAGCCTTGGACATTACTCTCCGTTCTACCTCACACTCGCGTTTGATGTTGTTATATTTCCAAGTACACTGTTTACTTGGAGTTTCTTAATACCTAGGAGTCGTACCATCCTCATGTAGTTCACAACGATGTTTCCTTGGGTCCAAGGTTGCTCTGTTTGACACGAGACGGCAGGAAGGTCGATATCTTGTTTTCTCCGATCCAACTCTTGAAGAGCCAAGGCGAGCAACTTCACGGCATCGTGCATCAGAGCCACCTCGGTCTTAGACATCGAGAAAAAAGAAGAGATTAAATGAAGGTAATGAGATTTTTGAAATGAAATATAGAAATGGACAAATTACCGCACAGCGTTTCTCTAATTGTCTTTGCTATTCTCATTTATCTAATTATACAACTAATACTTTTTTCCGTCTATGCAATTAAAACCTAAATAAACCCAAAAGTATTTTACTTATCTTCATTTACTGATGAAGCACTTTCGGGTTAACTTGTTTTAATTATTATAAATTACACAGTGAGATTTACAGAAAGTACATTAAAAATTCAAACAACTGAATAATAATAGTTCAACCAATAAGAATACATGTATAAATTACGCGTAAATTCAGTTTTCATTGAAGGATGTGGCTAGGCTATTAAATAACATACATTAATGTTGTTATACAGTAGCGGGTAATATCTCAAAGAAACTTGATACAATTATCGCTAAACATTTGCAAAAGGGCCCATTTTCTCTTGACTGAGATACGGGGTCTTATTTTCTATTTCACTGGATTATTTTAATGATTTTTAACACTTGAGACAACAACTACTTGCCGAGAACTGATATTTGTGAAAACGCAAAAACTCCCTAGAAAATGAATGTTTTCTGTAACTTCCTAGATTTTTCATTTTAAAAAACGTATAGGAGATTTTAAGATTTTTTAAGCCTTTTCATGCTTGAAAGCACAAGTCAAGGTACATGCTAAATCATACAGTATTTAACAACGAAACATTTCATATCTGATACTAAGATGAGTATGATTTACATATTTAGAGACTAATCTAACAACACCATTTTAACAATTTTCTGATCTACTGTTGAAATTCATTTAGTTTTTAAATGAAACAGTTGTGGGTAGAATTATCTAAAAATACCCATATAATTCATGAAGATGTACGTGCCCTTTAATATATTATGAGCGTTTGTTAAGATAAACAACAGTAACTAAGTAAATGTTTACGAAGAAGTAACAGAGCAACAGAAAACTATGAACATTTGTAAGATAATAATATGATTGCAAGGATAACACTATCCATGCATTTCGAGTTAACATGTTTAATTAAACCGAAGTTAAACGTTTTATTTAATGTTTATTCATAATATGTTACACCCTTTTTATAATAACATATAATAATCAGTTTGATGTTTTAAAGCAAAGCGTTTTAAGTCATAGTGATCAGATTGGGCGACAAATAAGCATTCTTACATATATATACCACAAATTATACCAAAAAGTTTTTAATGGAAGTGAAATTTTATTTGTAACAATAATATTATTTAAACTTTTTTAGCTGAGTCGGAAATGATTAATATTTGCAACCTGCTTGTGAACAAGATTAATGTATAATTACCACGACTTGTTTAAAAACGGTGACATGTTTGTCATTTTATTCTTTCTTTCCTTTCTCTTGTTGTAATTACTATAAAGTAATAATTAAGTTATAGTAAAAAATCTTCAAATAAAAGTAATTAATTCTTGTCTTAATCGCCAGGTTTCTTGTAAAGCATGGTATCCATGATTACCTAAAAGGAGGGAAGTAATTTGTGGAACATTTTACATCAATACCTTTGGCAATTTACTACTCATGCTTGAGCTATATTGTTGCGTCAGCAGAGGTCACGTCCTTCTCGAACATTCACGTCCCTTCCTTAAATCTCGGGATCCTTCTAGATATAGTGTAGTCTTGTATATATAAGACGGTCACAAAGTGACGGCAACAATGTGTGTAATTGAACTGAGTATTGTTGAGTCGAGCACGTGAGACGTTCGTTATGGCGCGACTGTTGAAATTAAGTGTACCGCAAAGTTATATTCAGAAAGAATAAACCAGTTTTATTTAAGACCTGTCGGTAAAGTTTCTTCGGAAAGAATTTTTACGGAAAATTAACGAACGAACGGAGTCGTTACAATATATTTGTTAATTACTATTTTTGGAGTGGCTAAGGGGTGTTTATAAGGTAGTGTTTAAGTGTAGGTTATCTAGAAACTATACCTATTCAGATAAAAAAACACAAAAAACTACTACTTTATGACACATTAAAACTAATTCGAAATTACAACTAATCGCTAAAAGTATTCTGATAATTTAAAAAGTAAGAAGAAGAAACCTACCGTTATATTCTGTCACATAGCAGCGTTGCAAAACAGAAAACAGAAACGTTTGCTAAACAAAGTTGTTTCAGAAAACCTGCGTAAAATCTTCTTATCGAACTATTGTAGCTGAATAATGCCTCTTACGTATATAAGAAGGTGAAAGATAATTTTAATTTTTGTTATATTACTCTAAAGCCTTAAGTAGAACCACTTGATAAAATAAATGTGTTTATCATAATGGTATAAGCTCTACTTAAGCTCAGGTTAAACTAAGTCGACATTCAATTTTTCTCGCCTGAATGGATCCTGAGCAAATTTTACTCATACTAGAGGATTCACTCTGGGTAGGATAACTAATAAACACATTCAATGTTAAACTGGTACACAATTAAAAACTGAATAAAATACTTGTCAAAATGATTGAATGAAATTTTCTTATCTAAAAATAGCATATTAATTTTATGTTTCCGAAGGATCGGACAGATTTTACGTTTTATGCTTTATTTCAATAAATTATTATTTAAATAGTCCTTGTATTACTTATCAATAACTAAGTGGAGCAGGTAGTTACTGATTCTATTTTCCTCTAAAATACACGTGCAGAGACTATTTTCAACCTGAATAGTCCCTATGCGCCAAGTCGGAGATTCCACGATTCAGTATGCTTGTTTGTTTGTTTGTAGTTAAGCACAAAGCTGCACGTTGGGCTATCTATGCTCTGCACATCACGGGTATTGAAACTCGGATTCTATCGTTATAAGTCCGGAGACATATTGCACGATTCGGTCTACCTGTTACTGTTGTTTAGATGCTGACCATACAGCAGCACCCCCTTCGCCCCGCATACTTGGTTACTCTTAATCAAATAGTGAAACTGACTGTTACTTTTATAACGGCCCTTTGTGATATGAAAAATATACATGACCTGACTCCACAAATGGACTTATTATTTCCAAAGATTTGTCTGTAAGAAAGAAGGACTTTAACAGTGTTCATCAAATATAAAATCAGTGCATAAAAAGCACTGTTTGAATTTTAAGCTTGTTAACAGTCGTTAAAGTGTTTACTTCAATGAGCCTTGCAGGTGAAGCTTCAGAAGTGAAAAGTCTGTTTTATTGGAGTCAAGTGGAATATTATCTTTCTATTTTTGAGATTATTATATATTATCCACTCATTAAGTTATAAAAAACTAATGGGTGATTTAATGGGTGAATTCTATACTTCACAAAGCCCCCAGTAGCACAGCGGTATGTCCCCGGACTTACAGCGCTAGAAACCGGGTTTCGATACCCGTGGTGGGCAGAGCACAGAT